AAAATCTTTTTAACATATGTGCCGGTGATTGTGAAAGTCATATATTTTTCGTTTCGAGATATTTAGAATTTTCCATTTTCACTACGTAATAAAATATTTCACAAAATACTTGCTCTTGTAATGTAACTCTTTTCTATGAAAAGATCGACACAACGCAAAGTAAGTGATAAATTCAATTTTTTTTAGATTTCTGACTTAGACCGCTTTCATAATCACCGGCACATATGTTATCTTTATTGCAAGGTTGGAGCACTTTTTTTTCTGAATACAAGAGTTGTTCCCGTCAATGAAGTACGATACGCTTTTTGAGAATATCGAGGCATACATTCGCGTTATCAATGTCGGTATTGTATTTACCCATGCTAACGTAAATTATCCACTGATCAATGGTGCATATTTCTAAAATTAGTTTATCAAATTCTCTCGGAATCGTTCAGATTTTACAACACTGCCATCTTCAGTCACTGTTATTCCATTGAATAGGTAAACGAAAGTAATGTAACAATAGAACGATCGATCATTCCTTTATCTTATTATCACATTTTTCTTCGTGCAAACAACCACTTGAGCCTGATCAGTAAAAGATCTATGAAAAAGTACCATTCTACAAAAATAAAGGAAACGTACGCTTCTGTATAAACAAAGAAAAGTCACCTTTAAATTTTCAAAAAGCCTCTCCACCTAGAAAAATTCTGACGTATCCACTTTACGCCCCCTGTAGAAACCTCGTGTAACTATTCTTTAATAAGTATCTTTCTCTATAGATAATGATACTCTCAAGAATCAAAGCGATAATTTCGAGGTTAGGACTTTTTTCACAGGTCTCAAGATCAGAGAATACTTAACAATTGTTTTGCAAACCGTAATTAACCGTCTTTTAAATGTCTCAAGACTGTTTCCTTGGAAAATTGAAACTATCGCAGTTTGTGAACCAGTCTAAATGACATTTCAATTTTAGTCAGTTTATGTTAATCAGTTGTGTTGTTATACGTGTGTATTTAGTAATCTATTTAGTCAGTTATATTGTTATATTTAATTGTTATAGTTTAAACTTCATTCGTGGGAAAATTATTTGTTACGCAAGGAAATACGAACAAAATTGAACTTTCTATTCGTTACTGGAAGAATTTTACTATCGAATCGTATCATCTTTTTCTTTTTCTTCTTTTTCTTATTGTCTCTGTTGTTTTTGTTAACTGATCCGTTGCAGAATACACACGCAGTATTACCTATAGTCAGTCATTATCTTTACTCTCTTTCAAGATTTATGTTGCTTGTAAAAATGAACCAACATGAATAAATGAAATGCATTCCTTATCGTTGATTGTTACGTGAAGAACAGCGTCATCGTTTTGATCCTAAATGACTTGCTTTTATTCTTATCATAGAGAAGAAAATCTTTCGATCATTTGATAATATATCGTCTATTATTTTAAATCGTTTCTAAAGGTAATGCAGTATTGAACATTTCTAGGTTCGCGCAATTAAAGCAATTTTTTTTTCAAAATAGTGAAAAAGATGTATGAAATGAAATATTTTTAAAACACGCTTACATAAAAGTCTTCACTCGAACAATTTCTCAATGTCTCATATATTTTACAAAATATTTATCTATGCAAACATTAAACATAATTCAATTCTTGGTTAAAACTTGAAAGAGTCTATTATTTGACGTGTACAGAAATTATAAGATATTTCCACATTTTTTCGTAATAATACGAAGCTAGTATTATTTAGCTAATTATGTAATGTAGTGTATTATGAAGAAAATAATTTATCTTATTTCTAATTTTATTGATAATTTATTTATTAACAATTTTTCTTTATTTTTTCAATCCTTTTATCGTACGAAGTGTTTTAGCGGCTGATGAATACTGTTCGTAAAGATTAAAAACTTGTTTTTAATTGCTACTGCTTTGTTTCTTCAACGAAACAGTTGATACGCAGACGATTTAAACGAATTGATAAAAGAAATACGAGAGATGATACAAGTAACGATGATGATAATTTCGAGCAAACAGAATCAACTCCTACCGCTTTGTTTATCGAACACCTGTACAGATTGACGAAAACTGATTAAAATATAAACTCCTTTTCTATCTTTACGTTCTTCGATTGACATTGACAAATCGAATATTAATAAGTTTCGAGTTGAAACGCTAAACGCACACCGCTATTTGTGTCGGTGATTATAAAGGTGGCCTAAGAGTGGAAAATTTTGCAAAACTCAATGTTAGCTGTCACACAGTTAGTTGTGTTTCGTCGATTTTTTTTCACAGAAAGGGTTCACATTACAACAGCGAGTGTTTTGTGACAAAATATTATTACGTAACGAAAATATATATTTTTCAATACACCCCCAGCGGAAAAAGTTTAAATGTCTCGAAATGGAAATTAAACGACACATTCATAATCACGGGCCGGCACATTTAAGCCAGTCATTTCGTATCGCAGATATCCCTTTTAATCAGACAGTTCCCACGATGTATTCGAATATTATGATAAATTATAAAATGCATTTAAAACGATCATTTCCTACCCTTTTCATGAAACGAATCAAATTTAAAGAATACGTTAAAATTCGAAGAGCATTAAGTGTACACTTAATTGAGTACAATGATAAAATCGCGTGATAAATTTGTATCGTTAATAATTTCAATGAACGTATAAATTGTTAAATAAATATAATCTGTAAATGCCATTTTGCTTTAAGAACAAAAAACATTTAGACATATAATAATGATAGGAGGAACTGGTACATTGATTTTGTGGTTTTTGTAAATAAAATAATAAGTTGTGATACATTTTGATCTATTTCAATGTATCTAATACATAAGTTTATTCTTTTTTTTTTCTCGTTATTTTCTGTTCTAATTAATAATAGCGCATAAGTAATATTTATTTATTCATGCTTAAATAGAGGACAGTAAAAACAGGTAATAATTATGTTATTTGTGTATAAGGTAGACCAAATGAATTATTACAAACATCAATTTTCAAAACCATTATTACCTACTGTAGATAAGGATATAATGGCTTCATTATACGTTGTTGTCATACCAACTGGAAAAGATAAAATATTCATTTTAAAAGATACACTAATTTTCATAATGATCACGTATTATTTTCTGAATTAATGATTTGATAACGTACGAAAGTATATTCGTTTATTTTGAAGTGGCTTTAAATAAATATAATTGTAAGTATGAATTAAACGATGATTATTCAGACATTTAAAATGCCGAGAATATGTTACTAAAAATATGTACATTCATGTTTAGTTTAATTTGTACTCAAATCACTATCTAAAACTTGAAAAACAACAACACTTTTAATAAACGTAACACGTAACAGATATGACGTGCAAAAGCATAAAATGGAATACAGAAAAATGAAGAAAAAAAAAAGGTTAACTTTAAATTTCAAAGTTTCGAAGATTGATCTATAAATAGATTCACCTATGAGAACCGTGGCAAATATTTTTTTTCGTGCCCTATACGTTCTTGTTGGACAGTAGTAGAATTAACAAGTTTTGTAATATTATTACTCATTGTTAAGATACCAATTACCCAATAACAGATTATGCGATTTGCTCGGTATAACGTAACAGTGTTCTTCTGCTTGTTATAAATAAAATTTTGCTCTACACTTTATAAACTAACCTCTACTCGTACCAAATATTCAAATATCATTCTTTAACTTTGAAATTACAAGAAAAATATTTAATTACCTCGTCATACTTGATTAATTCAGTCGATTCCTTAGAGTAATTCGAACACCACGTATTTAGATTTCTCATTAATTCGTAATGTCGTAGTAGAAGAAACACTATTGCTGTTTAACATTAGCAATTTGAAATAAATGGTGTATAGATAGCGGCAACGGTACCATTATTGCCATTATCATCTATAAAATAGTAAAAGAAAGTAGAAACGCACAGTTTTAAACTAATTGTAAAGAGAAATATTTTTCCAAGCGTAAATATTTCGAAAAATTTATACATGAGCTTTGGTTTTAATAAATCTACATTTTTCATAACAAAATAACGGTACACGTTATTTAACAGTGAAACAATTACATTAAAACGTTCAATGCATAAAAGAAAAGAAATCCGCTAACATTCGATTCTTAATACTTTGATATCTCTTTATATGTACATATATGTGTGTATGTATAGGTACTTTGCTCGAGCGATGAATCAACTTTCGTCCAGTGAGTTTTTCCCGGCTAGTGATCAATCATCGGTTATCGATGATGGAACGTGTTAAAACAGCGAAGAAGAAAATATCGTTTTCTTATTTGTGTATCAATTTCATTTAGTCGGAACTATTGGGAAACTGTAATTCATATTCTAAGAATTTTGCTATTCGTTTGAAGACAGTGCGTATTATTTAAAAAGGAATTATTAAAAATAACAAGAAAATGTTCAAATTTACTTCTCTCGAAAAGGGATCAGTTTTTCAGTACGCTTTTTTCTTTTCTATTCTCAGGGATAACACTTGTTACGGATTACGAGACATTGTATCTTCACTTAAAGCAAGGAAAATTGTCTTGAAATTTCTATTTTGTTGGATTTCACTTGAGCCTATTTCGAAGACAATATTTTTCCATTCGTTTACAAGCATATATTTTCCATTAGGAACTGTTCAGAATGATTACTAAGGAACATTTTCAAGTATAACACCATCCTTTCTCCAACAATAAAACAATCATCACGTAAACCAGTACATAAAACTAAACTGAAAGCAGATATTTATGATTATCCGCTTTCAACTAATTAAATTTATTTGAAGTTATTAATATTCGTGGTGTATTGGAAGATTTCTGCAATGTCAGCAAAATTTTAGTTGAAGAACTACCCTAAACCAGTGAATATACGCAACTTGAAATTATTACATTTCATTTACACGTTACACAATAAAAAAGCCTTAATGATTCGTTTTTATGAAAAGAAGCTACGATCGAGAAACAAAATAATGATTGGTACAATCATTTTTAAGTGTAGAAACACGGGTCTGTTCAAACCGCTACGTTTTTCCTGATCGCCGTTCAATAACAAGGACTATTTAACGGAATCCAGAATAGTATTATCTTCATTTCCCATAGGACCGCTTAAAGACTTGCTTCCTTTTTTGCTCCTTTTAACAAGTTTCGTTGGAAAAAGATAATAACAATAAAAGAAACGTAAAACCGTTCATACGTCATGCACGATCTTTCAAAATTGGATGGCGACGATGTCGGGGCCAAACTGCTTGTGAAGAGAAAAGGTATTTATCGCTTTGTTGTTTACTATGTTGGTCAATAAATCCGTAGGCACGCGGTCATCAACGCAGTCCCTCAGATACACAGGCATTCCGCGAAAGAACTAAGAGGGATGCCCTGAACGAGCTCCAACAGGAGTTGCACAAACTCGAGGTGAGCGCGACAGGAGAGGACCAACAGGAGATTCATCGGCAATTGGAAGGCTTCACTCACCTCTTCAAACGATTTCTCCAAGAGGAAGGGCCTTCGCTACAATGGGACGGCATACAAAAGCTGCCCGACGATGCGGTAAATCATCGTTCTTCACTTTAAAATTGCAATATCTTTGTGTTTATAACGTTAGGTTTCCCTGTTTCAAATACAACAAGCAGATAAACTGTAACAAACACTTTGTCCGTTTTTTATTTGAGATTAAAAGAAACGAAATTATAAGATTAATATTGTTCTATCTTCAGATAAGAGATTACAATTCTTTGCCAACTCCGGAAGGAGAAGAAATCAAAGCCCTTTTAAATAAGTTAATTGTTATAAAATTGAATGGTGGATTGGGAACTAGCATGGGTTGCCATGGACCAAAATCTGTAATAGAAGTACGCAACGGACTTACATTTCTTGATCTCACTGTACAGCAAATTGAGGTAAATACAGCTATTGTGAAATACGTTGTAATATAATAGTTATAAGTTCGAAATTATATAGAACGAATAAACGATAATCATTTCTTATTTCTTATAAACAGTATTTAAATAAGGTTTATAATGCGAATGTACCTCTTATTTTAATGAATTCCTTTAACACGGACGACGAGACGCAACGGATTATCAGAAAATACAGAGGAATAGATGTTGTTATTCATACATTTAATCAAAGTTGTTACCCTCGTATTAACAGAGATTCCCTACTTCCAATTGCAAAACACTGTGATATTTCTGATGATATTGAAGCGTAAGACTGATAAAATTTGATGAAATTTTACACATTTACGAAATGTACAAATACCTACTTATAAATATTACTTACAGGTGGTATCCTCCTGGCCATGGAGATTTTTATGAAAGTTTCCGAAATTCGGGTTTATTGAAAGAATTTATAGAAGAGGTATAACTTCTTATATATGAATTTATGTACTAATAATTACGTTACATACTATTATTATTTATTTACAATAAACATCATGTTATTGTAGGGTCGCGAATATTGCTTTATTTCAAACATCGATAATTTGGGTGCTACTGTAGATTTCAAAATTTTGAAATTACTGCTAGATAAGCGTGAAGCATCACCTCTTGAATTTGTTATGGAAGTTACTGATAAAACTCGAGCCGACGTTAAGGTGATAAAATTTCCCTTTTCAAAATAATATATTTCTTTTTAAAAGTAAGAAAATTCTTATACACATTTGTAGGGTGGAACGTTAATTAAATACGAGGATAAGCTCCGCCTTCTTGAAATCGCACAAGTTCCAAAAGAACACGTAGATGATTTCAAATCTGTGAAAACATTTAAGTTTTTCAATACAAACAATTTATGGATAAAACTCAGCGGTACGTATTTCTTTTCTAATTATTTGATTTATAATTGCAACATTTATGACTTGTCGTTTTTAGCTATTGAGAGAGTATTGGGAAAAAATTCTTTGAACATGGAAATTATTGTCAATGATAAAACTTTTTCGAATGGTTTGAATATCATTCAATTAGAAACAGCTGTAGGAGCTGCAATGAAATCATTTGAAGGAAGTATCGGTAAGAAACGTATTTTGTATTTGTTACAAACTTTTAAATTCTTTCTATGGGTTTTTACATTATTATTTCGAAACTATTATAATTATATGGATATGTTTATATTAATGTATTCATTTACAAATAGGTATTAATGTTCCGCGCAGTAGATTCTTACCAGTGAAGAAAACTTCAGATTTAATGCTTGTTATGAGCAATTTATATACTCTTCGCAATGGTTCATTAGTAATGAGCCCTCAACGAATGTTCCCTACAACACCTCTTATAAAATTGGGCGATAATCACTTTGCAAAGGTTATTATTACTATTATAATTTTCTTAAATCATAAATATATTGTGAATATGAAATTTTATGTGATTAATGCAAAACCTTTTTTTATAGGTTAAAGAATTTCTAACTAGATTTCCAACTATACCAGATCTTCTGGAATTGGATCATCTTACAGTGTCTGGTGATGTCACTTTCGGAAGGGGTGTAACTCTTAAAGGGACTGTGATCATTATTGCCAATCATGGAGAGCGTATTGATCTTCCATCAGGTACAATTTTAGAAAACAAAATAGTTTCTGGTAATCTACGTATTTTGAATCACTAAATAACATATAAAACATTTATCTGTTGCTCTTAACACTTTACCTGCGGGCATTTTCGGCGCGAGCTTACGCGATAATATCTGTCGTTTCGTCACTGTTATTATCACAATCTGACAAACAATCAGTGTATAAATCCTCGTCCTTTCTCTTGCGCGCTATGTAGGTATTTAAATTTTTAAATTATGCCGTAAAATATGTTACAAAGAATTTCACTGCACAACGCAATCTGAAATGGCTGAAATACTAATTCCAAATGAAAAGGACTATACCTACCTACCATGTTCGATATGTGCTTTAAACTGTCGCGGTAGGCGCCACCCAACCTGCGGTATGCGAATGGGTTTCCCTTGTCCTATGGACATACGTGATACGTATCACGTATACGTGACTCCCGCAGGTAAAGTGTTAATATAAAAACCAAGAAAGAAATGCATATAGTGTACATTCATTTATAAATAAAGATAAATTATGTTTTCGAATGAAATATGTAAAAATTTGTAAGTTGAAAATAAATGAATATTGTTTTGAAAATAGTGACAAAAAATTTAAATAAACAATTACGAAGTTTATACATTCAATTT